TCAGCATTTATTTTTCTTTTTGGAGTCCTTTCTAGATGGAGTGAAATGAACAGAGTTAATATTTTAATTAAACACCCTGCACCCTCAAATGTACCTACCATGCTCTCTTATCCTAAAGATGCACTTTAGCACACAGGCGGTGATGTTTAGAGCCCAGGGAGGTGGATTCTGGAGGGGCCGGCAAAGCCCCACACACTCACTGCTGGCTGGTCGGGGCCTGGTCATGGGCCCTAAGTTCCTCCCGTTCTAGGATGACCCTGATCTCTGCCTTCTGAAAGTGACGTGGGTGCTGCTCCTCTGGGTACACGGCATCGCCCTGTAACTGAAGACAAGAGTTTGCCTGAATTTTGTCCAGGGAATTGCCCTCTAGTCCCCTTTTCCAGGATAGCCCACGTTCTATCATTTATGCGCTTTTATAGACACTAACTTCACACCAACCCATGTAGCAGATGTAAATTCACCAGTGAACAGTATATTTGGATTTTTATGCAAATTGCAGGAATGATTATACTTTTATCCTACACACACAGACACAAACACACGTACACAAACGCACATACACATATACAAACACAGACACATGCACACACAGAGACAAACACAGAGACACACAGAGACAGACACACCCACACAGACACATATAAACACAAAGACACACACAGACTTACACATGTCCTTGCTAATAGTGATTTGTTTTTATTTCTCTGATAATCAGTTTTGGTGAAGATTAGTGTCTTACTATAAGCAGAGGCTGTTTTATTTAGCCAATATTTGTGGTTCTCAAAACACGCTCTAAAGCAGGATTGTTGAATACTAAATAGTAATACAAATTTTATATGCTTTTTTCCCCCAAATCCTGAGGAATGTTTTCATAATTTCCCCAGCAGTCAAAATTTCCAGTTTGAGATAAAATAGCCTTGTGGATTCATATAATCAGGAAAGGAGGTAGGGATATTGGTAAATGTGGATGTATGCTCAGTAAAAACTTTCTAAGTAAAGCAGTCTTCAGAGAGCCTGCTGAATGGTGATACCTGTAGGCAACCTTACAGTAGATCGGGGTGCTGAACTTAAGATTCATAAGCTTGGTGGGGTAAACCCCTTAAAATATGTTGTATATGATTATAAACACATAATTTTCTTGGAGAGGAGATTCATAGTGTGTTTTTTTCAAAAAATAGATTCTTGAGGTCTGTGATCCAAAAAATGTTAGTGTCATGAAGTTGAATGAATAGGAAAAAATCTTATATTTGCAGAACAAGTATGCATTGGTATTAACACCATTTTAAGAGTTTTGCATAGAAAAAAATAATTAAAATACAAACTTTAAGAGAAGTCTCCCTCTCTTTTTCCTTTAGGCTTAACTTTCCAGAATACATGAGGGGTAAACCTGCCCCTCGAGGATGACTGTGGCTCCCAGGACCATGGCTTCCAGGCCCACAGCTCCCAGGC